GCATCTAGCTTATATAAAGAAATTTGCACACCTATGATTTTGATTTATTGCATGTTTTTCCATAAAATACGCCTGACCATCCTTTGTCCACTAACAGATGGCCTTCTTTGAAATGTGATCAGGCCAAATCCTAGCCTGAAATTTGGTAACAATATAAAGATTTATGTCTAATAGTACTTTATATAAACATAGGAAGAATTCTTTCATGGAATTTGGGAAATTTTAGAAGACTATAAATCTCTGTCATCTTGCCCCAGACACAACTGGGTAGGTTGGGGAAGATCTAGTCTTACTAAATCTTAGTGAATTCTACTTGGTTTATTTTTTGTTCACATTTTCCAAGCTCATTTTAGGGTTTCTAATTATTTTTAATTCATTCTTTCTTTCCTTATGCTTAATTAGCTTCCTTGAGTTTTTCATTTTAATTTTATTTCCCACATGAAACCATCATTAGGCATTCTCATGCAGTAAAACATTGAACCAGGTTTACTACCCTGATTCAATGGAATTAAGGTAATGGTGGCTGTGATGGATTGTCAAATTATCGAAATCCATCAGTCAAACTGATGAGAATTTATTATATAAAGCAAAACAATAACACTCTCAAGTAAGTTTTCCGCACAAATCTTTGTTACTTGAAGACATTATTAAATCACTAGTAGCTTGTCTTTGAAGTCTTCATTGACTGAAATCAAGAAAAGTAAGTCAAGTTCCTGCCTCCAAGACAAACTAGTTAATCCCTTGCAACTAAAGGTGAAGCTGAAAAATTGAAGAACTAAAATCTCTTCAGTGACATATATGAACCAAGAAACCTGACATAATTATTAGATTGTCACATGTCTCCTGCTGATTATCACTTATTTAAGCATTTTATATAAAACATTCTCTGATAAGGAAGAGGTAATCAAAGCATTTGAACTGTTTATCACATCAAAAGATGAGAATTTTTTTAAAGATGCGATCAAGAATTTAGAGCTAGATTGGAGAACAGTTATTCATCAACATGGTGCCTGTTTCAACTAAATAAATCAGTTATTTAACATTTCAAAAGTGTTTTATTCATTTCCTATAAAGTGCATCATTTTCATGTTAATAATACATGAAAATGATGCACTTTAAAATCAAACCCACATTCACAAATTCCTCCACTGCTCCAAGAAGCATTAAAAAAACAAAGCTTTTCATAAGCAATTGAATTGTGAAGAATTTGTTGTCGTTACAAGTTTTTGCAGAGAAATTCTCTTCCAGGCTGAAATCTGGCTTGAATGTATTTTCTAGTTGCTTTCAAGTAAACACAAATTTTTAAAGGTACACTAGATAACACAACTTTGTAACTTCCTTTATGGTGGTTATCTATGCAACCTGTTACATTTAGTGGTCATTCCTTTATGGATGATGAGCAATCTTCATCAAAATTGTAGATCATCAAGAGCACAATCCTTTAATTTATAATAATATACAATGAAAAAACAATATAATTTAAGATGTATAGATTTATATAATTTACAAATACATGAATTATTCACACAAAACTAATGCAAAGGTTAATGATTTAAATGGCGAGACATCCATCATCGCAAACAATTCAAATAGTATACAAAAACCTCCAGATCCGTTATGAACATATATTTTCGTTGTCCTCTTATTACTAAGAGAAAAAACAAGAACAACATCTCTATTCTATACCTGAAGATGTCTGTAGGAACAGACGAAAGCTTGTAGTAAAAATAACAACTAATACGGCAGAAATTTATATAAACAAGGATCAATTCATTCATAACTCAATGCAATAAATGATGCTAACGTTTGAAAATCGGAGGATTTTAATTAAGAAATAACTAAGAGAAAATTTATTAAAACCAAGTTATATTTGGACATTCAGACCACATCTACCCAACTTATTTGGGCTCTAGGAGTTGACAAAAGAAAAAGCCTGATAGTGTGTTTGGCTAAATAATTCCCCAAAACAATGAAAAGGAGGTTAAAATTCTGATTACTCTTCCGCAAATTTGACACTCTTCTTATGTAAATCTCAGTTACAAAGCATTCAAAATAGATCACCAAGAATGAGTCACAGTCAAACATGTGAATTGGATTTGGGGGTGCGAAATATGATACTTGAATGCCTAAATTTTCTTATTTAAATGACAGCATAGTTGTTGTCAAGGCAATTGCTGTTCAAATACCAGTGCCTGTAGACCAGTAGAGAATATCAATGCTATAACTTGAGAAATTAGTCTCTCTTGAATAATTCCAGCCAACCTTACTAACAAGAAGATATCTCATTCTCCAACTTTCAAACATAGAAACCTTTGTATATTGAGACTAGAAGGAAAGGAGTGTAGTCATTTATAAACAACACTCTCCTCAAGAATGGTGCCACATGCAACATTGAACTAGTCATGCAGAAGGAAGGAATCAATTTGTAAACCATCCCATATGTGAATGATAAAGAAATTTATTTGGGTTCATTTAATTTGACATCTATAGTAGCCTCTGAATCAAAGATAAAATGACCAGCTCAAATTGACTTGTAGCACTTCATGTACCTATCTTCTCCTGTACCTAAGTGAGTTTGTATTGTAACTAGAAGTAACAAATTGAAAATAGTATATTGGCCATGATAATAATCCTATTATCAAACCCAGGCAAAATTTAGGCCAAGGCTACAACATTTTTTTGATGTAAAATAAAAGTTGCAGTTCAAGCTTGTTCATTTTTTGTGCATTTGCATCGGAGAAAGAACAATTTGTTCAGGAATTACTCATATTGGGAATTTTAGAAGTTCTGAAGAGAAGTGGATAACCACCTTCAAATATTCAAACACAACATGGATGAAGGAGAGTCTCTGCTCTTTCACCAAATTACAACCAGACATTAAGCATTCATGATTCCACAATTTCCCATGCCTTACCAGAACAAAGCCAAAAAAGTGGAGCATCATCATCATCATCCTCTTAATACTCAGCTAAGTAATAGTATTCTCCTTGTATACACATACATACTGTCACTAACAAGAAAAGTGTTCAGTGTTTAGCTTAACTCTTTTCCCTTATACAGTGTGACACTATTTAGCTATAGTAATTGGCTAATTAATCATAGGAATTAAAAACAGGAAAGACTTAAGGCAAGAAAGAGCTATATCGAAAGATAGACTGAGCAGTGACGTTAAAAAGAAGATTTTATTTTATTTACAAAAACAAAGATACTTTTCGCACGAGACAGAAAATCCATAAGAAAAGATAATCCGTAAATACCATGGCAGGCTCTTGACAGTGATGGATGAAAGCATGAGGTTTTGGCCAATGGGAAAAAGAAAAAGAATTTTGTAAACAAAATTCTGGATAATAATTTTAAGAAGGCCAATCTAGCCACACCCACACTACCAAGAGATCATTGGTCAAGTGGTAGCATGAGTAATTGGTGGAGATGAATGTATGAGAAAGGCGGGGAAGTTGTTAACACCCACTGAAGGGATTGGTATGAGCTACCAGTGTGAGAGAGGAAGAGTCTAGGAGGATAACTCTCCTCCGACCTCCCCTCACAGATGAGGGAGAACCCCCAAAAATGGGAAGTAATTTTCCTGGCCTAGGAACAAAGAGAATTCTTGTTGGGAATTGAAAATTATCGAGGAACCCAAGCCACATCAGGCCCCCACACCGGGTTTTGGTCAGTACCCATATAAACGAACGTCCCCGGGCAGTCGCAGTTCAGTTCTGGAGAGAGTCAGAGACAGTTCGAGTAGCGGGAACCAGAGTGTTGCCTCACAGAAGCTGACCAAGAGATTCCATGTCCTTCTACTTCGCCTTCCTATAAAAGCAAGTTATATTGGCGAATGACTTAAGATATGCAACAGTGTCATGAATCCATAGAAAATGGGCTGGGAGAAAAACACACTCCTGTATATAACAGGCAGATAAAGGTAATTTGTTATTTCTCAACATACTTGAGTCTCTTGAGTTTTGTTTTATTGTTTCTTTTACTTACGCTTGTGCGATATCACCTTCACCCTGGATTCAGCTTGCACTACGGCCTGACGCCTGATTGATCAAAGATCAAAGTCACAACATGGGTAGGTTAGACTTGAGATCAAAGTGGAAGTGAGCTGGGAACGACAAAGCTGGTATTGATCTGGGAACGACCAGATGGACCAGGACACAGGCTGGTGGCAGCGGCAAGGAGTCAACCCCAAACGTTGGTGGAAGAAACCTTACAGCTTCACACCACAACTGGGAGTTGACCACAGGCCCGACAGCATAGTGTCACATATTGGCATCGCGACCAGAGGACATCACATATTCGCGCTGCGACCACCCAGTACAACAATAAAACCACTATCTTCTAAAGTTCAGAATCACAAGAATTGACTACTGATTAACAGAGATAAAATGTTTAGACTAGAATCTTTGAAATTAATATCTGCAGTCACATTGTTTTAAAATACTAGTAATACCTTTGTGAACTATTCCAGCCCCTCCCTTCCTAGAACAGAACAAATAGAAGGTAGAGTAAGCAATAGGTATATAAAAGCAATTTTATAAGTAATTCATTAGATGTAAATAACTATATTAAACCAGTGTTGTCACAACAGTGTGAAGCTCATATGGAATAATTTTCCTTTTCCAATTTTGTTTTGGGATTATTTGATGTTATAATTTTAAAACATTAAGAGAAATAAATATTGCATTATAATTAAATATATACAAAAAACATTTAAAAAATACTACTTTCATCAAAATTAATGAAATTTTTATTGAGTCATCAAAAATATAATCTTGGAAATGTTGAACACTTATCCTGATTAGTATTTTGTTAAGCTAAATTTCCTCATTTATTTACATTCAGCAAATTTTAACACATTTCACATCAATCTAACATTCTTGAAGTTGAAAAGAACATTCATTTTAAAAATATCTATGCTTGATGATTTAATTTATATCATTATGACATATTTTAAGTATTTTTATAAACAAAAGATTAGAATGATCAGTTGTCTTCTTTCAATACAGCACACGAATACCATTAACATTACTTGAGCTGGAGTTGTTTTCTGTGAAAGAAAAATAAATATATTTCATATAAGTTGAGTTATTAAATATTAACTGAATCCTTAATAAAATATTATACAATCATTTCTAAGAAAATGGAATTATAATACAATCAATTCAAATATAAGAGAAAATTATTTTATATATTTCAAAATTTAATGTTTGTAAAAACACATCAGGGCATTACATAATATTTTTTACTTTAAAAATTGATTCAATTTTTATCTTTAATGATATACAATCATTCATTATCAAAGGTTTCTTTTAGCACCAAAACCTTATATTGCATTGATATTAAAATATTCCAGCACTCCTACACAGAGCGATTGTTTATATAAGGAAATTAAATTGCTATAACCAGGACTTTTATTATTTTCTCCACCAAAATTGGGAAAAGATTGTTTGTATCTTCATGTTTTTGCTCTCCAATGTGAAATTAGTAGAAGAAATTATTTAATTTCTGAAGTTTTAAGTAAGAATAAAGTGTTCCTGTGTTTCTACATTTGCACAAATATCAGAAACAGAATTAAAAATAAATGCAACACTGGGTTTTGGGGTTGAATCCTTTTTTAATTATTTATTCAGTTGACCAAAGTATTCACTGGATTTATTAAATAAAAATAAAAGAGAATTTAAAAAATTTTTCCATCACTATATTTCCCAGTTGGATTTATTATCTTCTATCAGCATTCAGGCAATATATATATATATATATATATATATATATATATATATATATATATATATACACTCCTAGAACTGATTTTGGTACCTCTTGCACTCTTTCACATTATGGAAGATTTTTTTTCATTAAGACATTTCTGTAAAGACTGAAATAAATGTTAATCTGAAGGTGCAATATCTGGTGATTATGCCCAACAGCTAAAAATTTACTAACCAAACTGTAATCATTTTCACTTGCTCACCAAAAAACATGCTATCTAGCATATGACTTTCTTTTAATTGCAGAACCTTTTTGCTAATAACTACCTTCAACTGGTCTAACTGGAAACAGTACTTGCACATAAGGCTGTAGGAACATTGAAAAGCCATAATTAAAGTCAATCATTTGTTTTTAAAAAATGTGCTTATTGTAGAAGACACCTTTCCAACCTCACTGCATACACAGTGTGATCTTTTTGGGATGAAGACCAACCTTTAGGTGGCCATTTATTTCACTTGCTCCATTATCCCTTGCATTCTTAATTGTTCTAAAATATTCACTTTTCATCACCAATCACAATTTGTTTCAAAAGCACAAATATTTTCATTGTGTTTAGAGAATAAGTTTAATTCACTTATGTGAAAAGCACACATCAAAATGACTAACACAGCCAATATAGTAATTTTTTTATTTAGACATTTTAAGTATGCATTTTTTATTTGAAAATCAATTTTATAAATCTGATTATTCTCAAAATAATATTTTCATTTGATCTCTTCAATCTTAATTTCTAGGATGAGGAGTTACTATTTACTTTATTTTTAGGCAGTCTAATGTCCCATCTTTGTTAACCACAGTATTGTGTTGAATAGGATAACCTTCAGAGAATTCCAAACTGAACCATTTATTTAATCAAGTTACAAATTTGAATCTTAAACTTAATGTTTTTATTGCTACCTCTCGCTACATTAGTTGATGATGGTAGCTACAGCAAGATGAAAAAGGATCTGACTCTAAAAACCAAGAGGAAGCTAAATAGGAACAAGGATAACCTCACAGCAAATGACTATAGAAAGCTGATTCAATGTTATACTAAGCTGCCACAGACTTCCCAAGATTCACAAAGTTGGTATTCTATTGAGATCTATAATCAGTTATAGGGGCTTTTGTCATGCCACCTCTTGAGAAGATTGCTGGTGGTTATAGTCAACTCACTAACAGGCAATTGCCATATGTTAAAAATTGAAACTCCTTTATAGAATCAATGTGAGGGTCTGCCATCCATAACAATTGGATGGTAAACTTAGATGTAGTGAAAATGTTCATAGTTCCAACAGATTGGTGGTTCAAAAAACAGATTGAAATTGGACTCCTCCCTGAAGGAAGACAACTAGATTCTTTTTACAGACAGAATTCTTCCTCCAGCAGGAAGAAGACTTGGCTATGGGTTTGCCATTATCAACAGTGATGGCAAACATATACATAAACTACTTTGTGGAAATGACTTCAAGAATGGCACCACTAAAGTATGGCTGAATATGTAGATGACAACTTCATACTATGAACTTACTAGGAAGCAGTGCAAATATTGCTGTACTATGTGAACTGAGTAAGACCTTTAATCCAGTTTACAATGGAAGATGAAAACAATAATCAGCTGGCCTTCCTACATATACTAATGACTCACATAGAATGATTTCAAGACTTCCATATATCACAAATCAACCATAACCAGATGAAACCGTAACTTCAATTACCACCATCCATAAAGCATAAAGAAAAGGATTGTCTGATGCCTGCAACATCATGCAAAACTCATGTTGCAACCCAGACACATACAAACAGGAGATGGTCAGCATCAATTGTACCCTTCAGAATAACAACCACCTAGCAAGCATGACATCAGTTTCTGCATGCAGTGACAGAAGAGTTGAGCAGGAAGCTTAGAAAATTAGCATGGTTTGCCTCCCATATGTCATGAGTATGATGAAAAGGATCTGCAGTCCATACAACAACAGGACGATATTCAGATGCAACTAAACTTTAGAGGATTCTCTGTTGAGTCAAGCCTAACACAGAGGAGAACAATGGAATACAAGAACTGTGAGCATTCCATTATTTTCAGTTGTAGCAGAAAATACAAATCTGAAGCCTAAAAATAAGGCTGTAGGAACATTGAAAAGCCATAATTAAAGTTGAGACAATGAAATCAAGCATGGCTGATCATGTATGAATGAAAAAGTGTGCTTGTCAACCCCTGTAGAATAAAAATACTAGACAGAAAAGAACACTGGAAAATCAGATGTTTCAAGAAATCAGTGCATATGCTAGGCTATGACATCCTCCTCAGTAGGTCTAGCATAGAAAAAGTACTATGTGGGAGCCATTGATAAAAAGAAAAAAACTATGGTGGATGGAGCAAAGCTTCAATGATAGCAGTAAGAAAGAGAAACAGTGGTGGCAGGAGTCAAGCTTTATAGCAAGTCGGCAGAGGAGGAGGTAATAAGGACATTAGGTTTATGACTCCAAGTTGTAGCATCAAGATTGTCTCATGGGACACCAGCATAGCGGATTAAAGTATTGGTCTGTGAATTTGGCAGAATTGTGAGTTCAATCCCCATACTGAATAATACAGACTCAGTAGAAACAGGACTAACAATAATTAAAAAAGAAGACAAGTTATCCCTAGACATAGACAATTGAATAAAAACAATGTATGTAGATTAAATAAAAGGTTCCTTTCAAAATTCCCTAGTTGACAGAGACCTAAAGAAGTCAGGAGATCACATTGTGACAGTAATATCAAATATTGATCTATCTGACCATTTTAATCAGCACAAAACTTTACAAACTACATCTGGTATAGTCTATTTATTATTCACAGTACCTTCTCTAAAGAGAATGTACTGTGAATAATAAATAGACTATACAGCACAAATCTTTTTTATTTGAATCAATTTTACAATAAAACAATATGCCAAAAATGGGGCTTATTTTCTTCCAACTTTAAGGTTAAAATCAATTTCTTGGATGACAGCTTTCCCAATACAATCAAACATGGACTTTTCAAGTACAGTTAGTTCAAGCTAAATGTTCCTAATCTCATCTGATGACAAACACAGAGCAAATATTTTAACTAATCAAATATTTAACAAATACAAAAATGCATTCACTGAAACATAATAAATCATTTGTATTTTTGCTCTCAATCACTGAATGTGAAATGAGTGTGTGGAAGTTGTGCTCATGTAATTTATGTACCTCTACATTGATATTGTCAAAAGTGATTTTCAGTGTATTTTTATCTACCATTTATGCATATGCAAAGATTTCTGACTCGACACTAGATCAGTTTACATTTAGTATTCTAGTCTATTTTAACAAAGACCATGAGTTTGTTTTTCATAAAACACAAAATTAAAGTAAATGAAAAATAAATTGTTTTTGTGTAAATATATGTATTTAGTCAATTAGGATTTTGAAAGTAAATTTATGATAAAATGTTTTCTGAAAGTGTTTGGATGCAGATTGTAGTTATAACATGTTGGACAAAAGGCTGATGATTAAGATTAAAAAGTCTTGATAACTAGACATGTAAATAGACAAAAATTGGTTTAAAATATTTCCTCACCTGTCATCAATTTATTTATTCCACCAAACTATTGTTTGAATAGAATGACTTGAAGCAGTACTTGAAATGTAACCAAGATATGGGTCTCTCACTTGAAAAGTTATGTCGTATCCATGCCTTGAAAAATTACAGAAAAATGTGTTTAAATTAAAAGTCAAAAAGCTCTCTTCTACTTATCTGAAAGAGACTGTTACAATTTGATGCATACTACCTAAAATTATCTTGTCTATATTTATGACTTGCTAAAGGTGGTTTCTCAAAAACCTGCTCTATCTTAATATGCTGACCCTGTTTAAACATTTAAATACATGAAATTACAGGATGGTGATTTGGAGGCACTACTAATTGGATGACAATTGTTAAGAAAATTAAAAATGAAAAGACATTAAAATTGACAGGATTCAGTAAACTTGAGCAAAACCAAGATTTCCAACCCTATCCACTTCCCACTAATAAGAAAAAGATGATTAATATGTTGCCCAAATTTCTTGGATTCTGGAGAACTTAGTATTTAGACATTTTGTTTACAATACATTATCTGTAGAGAATGTGTGTGGTCACAGAAAATAATGATATAAATTATTTTAGACAAAGAAACAAAAAATCTGTTTTGTGCTAAACTCCAAGATTTGTGGACTTATTTATGCTGATCACCCCAAGAATTCAGTTATTTTTACAGAAAGTTATCTAGGAAGACTTGGAATATACAAAGGAAATACCATATGGCAAATTTTTCTGTGACAATTGGCTGCAATTTTTACAGTTAACATTGTTTTGGATTTCTGGTGAAGAATTTCTCACCTATAAAAAGCCCAGCTGATCAATTTATGGGAATATGGACATAATGAAATTGGGCATTGTGAACTGTCATTTTCTGGGGCCAGACTAGGTATAGTGAAGTCATTAATCATTGTTATCAGAAGAGATTTCCTTATATAAAGCCAATGTGCATTTTGCTTGGTGGTCATTTTTACATTGTTACTAGTAACTGTTAGTAAGGAGTCCATGTTGAGTGTCCAGTAGTTCCATTGTGCCAACTTGTGGTTGATGTTGTCATTTCTGCTTCATCATAGCATGAGTAGTAGTTTATGACAACAAATATATGTTCACCTGTTGGCAGAGTCGATAACTAGGTCTTGTTATCATTCTGGTGGTGGTTCTGTAGATGCCACAGGTTCAGGTGGCAATGACTGGGTGACAAGCTGATATCCTTTACATACCTGCATAAACTTTTCAACCTTCCAACTGACAAACTTGTTTGGAATCTGAGTTTGGTTCCACTCATTCCAATGAGAGCTATGGCAATCACAGCTTGTCTGGTCTCATTATCTTTGTCCCTCACATTACAATTTTGACAATTGTGCATTCTGCAGACTGGGACATATCTGACACACTGTGAATTCCCCCAGTTGCCTGTTTCAATGCATTTATAAACATGTCATGATGGGTGCTTTCTTCTACCCATTGTGTAGACATAGCCTTTGGTGTTGTTTCTATGGCTACAAATTGCATGTTGTTTGGTTTTATATCCGAGTTCAGTGTTCACTTCATTCTCAGGTTTGAGTTGTCAAGAGAGTGGATCTGCAATCATCTTGGTTCCAGCAACATGCACTACTCAGAAATGATAGGATTGTAGTTGGTGTGTGTTACTATAAGATGCTGGAAGAGTTAAGAGATAACCCAGTAAACATACAAGGCAGGATTTTATTAAAATTCAGAAAGTTTGTTTTCTTCCATGAATAAACCATAAAAATGGAGAACAGGGCTGACTTGAAGTAAAACGGCTTTATTATTATTTTAATCAATCGAGCCAAAAAACTTATCTGGATAATTTGAGAGATGGGGAGATCCTTTTGTGTTCCCATTTTTTTTCCTTTTTTGTGACCTTATTATGACATCTTCCCACATTTCTTTTCCATTTTGATATACTCTAAAAAACATCTTTTTGCTAATTTTGAAAAATTTTGTGTCAAACAATTTTCCTAGTGCTTCTTCATAAACTTTTTCATTACTTGCTTTTTTCAGAGCTCTCTTAAATGTACCCACAAACTGTTCAGCTTGTCTGTTTGACCATGGATAGTAATATGATAAATCAAGAACATTTTACAAAAATCTTTAAATTTATAAGCAGTGAATTTACTGTTATCCAAGAATGCCATATCTTGCAAACAGTTCACGTAAAAAATTCACTGTATCCGTGGAAGTTGATTTTTACACTTACAAATGTCAGGCCACTTAGTAAAACTATCCACTACCACAAGATAATGTGATCCATTTATTGGACCTGCAAAATCTATGTGCAGTCTTGACCATGGAGAATCTGTCTTTGGCCAAGGTTATAAATTTCTGGTAGGTGATTTTGCAGGCTTTTACTAATTTTTCATTGTCTTGATCCATTTTGATCCAGTATACATAGGTTCTCATAAGAGATTTTATCCTTGGAATTCCTGGATGTCCACTATGAAATTCATTTAATATCTGCTTTTGTGCAAACATTAGTACTCCATCACATAGCAAGTAATTGTTCAAGTCTGGAGTGTGTTCTAAAAATCATCTATCTTTCTTACTTTCTTTTAGTGTTTTTTTTTTTAAATAAACATGTCTTGTTCTGCTTTTACTTTTATTTATTCCAGTGTAACTTGTAGTTCACATACTACATTGCATAATATATTTTTAATTTCTATTTCACTTTTTAATGCTGCAATAGCAGTGTCCTCAAATGGTTCAGTATTTTAGGGCATTATAATAGATGTGACAGTGACTTACCTATTAAAAACCAAGCGAGTGGACGTGGGGGAGCACTGCTCTTCTAGGCTTTGGTGAGACTAGACGTATTGCTGAAAGAAAGCGGCATCAATTTCTGGACATCTGACAAGCTATTTCGGCTGATATGGACGGCCGGTTTGATTTTAAAATTATTCCCGAGTTTGACGGGACTGGATCTGTGGTTGAATGGCTCGAAAATTGGAATTGGTGTGCGACCTATCGGGAGTGAAGCGGCTTGATCGTGTCATCCTCTTCGCTTAACCAGGGGAGCATTCAGTTTACCAGCAACTATCTACGGAAGAGAAATCGACGTGGTTCGAATCAAGGGAGCATTGATGACAGCATTTGCCCCTGATAAATTCACGGCGATGAACAATTTGAGGCACGTGTATTGCGTCCGGTGAGACCGTGAGATGATATTTGGCAGATCTCGGAAGCTGTCCGTCCTTTTTGGAGGAGTGCCAGACAATGCGATGGCATGCGTGTTTGTGCGGGGGCTTCCTGATCCTGTGAAAAGGCTCCTGCGGTCCTCGGACAGGGCGGATGATATGTCTCTCGAGGAGCTATTGGCCCGAGCTCGGGCAATCATAAAGGACGAGACAGCAGAGAGGGAACCAGCCCTCCCAGACTCCTCGATCTTCCCCAGACATCGGCCCACTTGTCACATGCTATGAATGTAATGGACCCAATCACTTCGCGAGGGACTGCGTGAAGAGGCGAAGGGCAACTAACGTGCATTGCTATCGATGCAACAAGACCGGTCATCTGACCAAAAATTGTCCGGGAAACGGAGGCGGGGACGAGACTTCAGCGCCGGTCCACTCCCCAAACAGCAAGTAAACTCGGTGCTACCCATCATTACTGTGTGTTGACGGCACACCATGCTTGGCTCTCCTTGACTCTGGGTGCGAATTTATGTTGGTCTTGGTCGAAGCAGGGTATGGTGGTATCTACATTAACCGGAGCTACGCAGGCTTGCTCTGGAAGGGGCACCATCAGAATTCGCACAGCAACAGGTAATAATGCTACAATCGATGTGCTGGTTATGTGAGGGAAGCCCCTGGATTTCGATCTGTTGCTTGGCATCGACACCATTAAGGCACTCAGTGGAGTTCGCATCACGCAGCATGGAAGCGTGGAATTTGTAAAACCACGGTCCGTCTGTGCAGCGATTCGTATCAGTGAAGCCGATTTCAGTGCGAAATTCAATGAACGGCAGGGAGTTTGGGTTGCAGCCTGGAAGTGGTCGGCAGGTCATGCACCAGGGAAACTTCAGAATCGGATCTCTGAATATCCGGTATCCAGTGAGATGAGAGAGGAGTACAAGCATGAATTGCAAACATGGATGGACAATGGTTGGTTGGTGCCGTACAGTAACAAGGAGTTTGGCCTGCCCAAGGGACTGATACCACTGATGGCCGTGCTGCAGACCAACAAGCATAAGGTGCCTCCTGTGATGGACTATCGGGAACTGAATACCTACGTTGAAACATTCACAGGTGCCGTGGATGTTTGCGCAGAAAAACTGCGAGACTGGAGACAGCAGGGTGTGAACGTGTCCATTCTGGACCTCAGGAAAGCATATCTACAGATCCATGTTGAAAAATTCCTGTGGCCATATCAAACAGTTATGTTTAAAGGGAAGCGATATTGTTTGACCAGGCTGGGGTTCGGCCTGAATGTGGCACCCCTGATAATGCGAGCTGTGCTCAAGGCTGTGTTAGCACAGAATGAAACTATAAATAGAGCAACGTCAACATATATTGACGATATATATATCAACGAGGATGTGGTGTTGGCGGAATCTGTGAGAAAACATATCGAGCTCTACGGACTGACAAGCAAGGATCCAGAGAAGTTACAGGACGAAGCCAGAGTGCTGGGGCTAGAAGTATGGAAGGAACAGGGTCGACTCGGCGGCGACGAGGAAGTAGAATGGTAAACGCCCCATGACTATGACACGGAGAGGTATTTTCTCCATCTGTGGCCGGCTGGTGGACACTTCCCGTGTGGGATGGCTGCAGTGGCGACAGGCGTCATCAAACGTCGAGCCACTGCCTTAACGCAAAAAACTGGGACGACAAAATTTGTGATGCTCCCCTGGAACGTATGATAACGACACCCTCGCCCGGGCTCAGCAACTGGATCCTGCACAGGGAGAATGGTGCGTGAATAACGAAGGAGCTAGATGTGTGGGTGGACGCGAGTTCGCTGGCTGTAGGAGTAGCGCCGAGGCTAAGGGAGCTATCATCGAGGACACATGCTGGCTACGGCCGATAAAAAAAACACCCAGCATATCAATGTGGCTGAACTGGATGCCGTGCTGAAGGAATCAACCTCGTGCTAAAATG